TAACTTTAACAGCATCACAGTTTGAATAAGTGTTCTCCAAAGGCCCAGGAGGTTGAAGGTCTGGCCACCAATTTGTGATGCTATTGGGAGGTGATAAAATCTTAAGGAGATGGTGCCTAGCAGGAGTAAGTTAGGCCACTGGGGCTATACCCTCAAAGGAGATATTGGGTCCTGGCCCATTTCTGTCTTGCTCTTTGCTCATAGCCATGAGGTAAGCACTTCATTCCACCACGGGCTACGCCCATACTAACATAACAATTGGTCATGGACTGGAACCTCTGAAACCATAAGCCAAATAAATTTTTTCTCCTTTAAGATGATTATCTCAGATATTTTGTTACAGTAACATTACACTAACACAAATGGGAAGAGGTGAAGACTGGTGAGAAAGGAAAATGTACCAGGTAGAAGGAGATACAGTATTATCCTAATTAGCCAGAACAAGAAGCAAAGAAGACAAGGGTAACAAGGCTGGAAAAATAGGCTGGGTGATTCTTGTGATGGGCTTTTCCAAGATAGGGTCTCTCAGACTATTTGTCCTGAGCTTGTTCCTCCTGATCTCTGCCTCTTGAGCTAGGATTACAGGTGTGAGCCACTGGCGCCAGCAAGAAATGTATCTTTTTAATAGGAATAAGTTGACAGTGATTTGATTGGGGTAGGTAGGAAAAGGAAAGACAAAACTCATCTAAATTCTTACTGATGAAAGTGGGTCTGAAAAGAAAAGAATTTTAACAAATAAGACTGTGTGGAAAAAAAGGGGGGAGGGGGAGTTAAGGAAGTACCTAATGGGTAAACTTTGGGGCCAGATACAAAGAGAATAATGCCTTTAACAAAGACAGAGAACTTTAGAGACACTGGTGTGAGTAGGAAGGAGAGGAGGGAAAATGAATGGTGCAGGGCAAGTCTTACCCTGATGAAAGCAAGGTGAGGCCACAGGTTCACTCACTGTCCTAAGTGAGCTCCATGTAGCTCTCAAAACATTTTTGTAGGGGATCTCTCCTTGCCTTCCCCCATAGGATTAGCTCCTCTGCTGTTTGTCGTATGTTTGACAATTCTAAATTTTTGTGATTGTTTGATTATTATTTTCCTGAAGGAATGTCGGACATGCCATGCCAAAATATGCCATTTGGCATATTAGTTTAAGCTGAAGTCACTTGAAAAACGGGAGATGTAGGACAGACTTTCTGGTTAACACCCCTATCCCCAACAGAAAAATAGATCCTAAAATTTCCCATAAGATGTTCCCCTCCCTACACATTCTCACTAGAGTCTGAGAAACAACAGGGAAATTGACCAAAGTAATCCTGCCCATTTTCCCAATCTCTCTCAATCACTGCTCTACAAAAGACTGCCTCTTAATCCCAACCCCTTTTTATTGTCATTTCCTCAAATTTATCATCTTTCTACAAAAAGCATATAAGCTCCCCTGCTTTGCATACTTCTTCACATCTTGAGGACGCTCAAGTACATATAAAATTTTAATACAACTATGTACTTTTCTCCTGCTAGTCTGTCTTATGTTGGTTTGTGAGCTCCCTCTGCCACATGGTAGCTCTCAATTGTAGGAGACAGGTGGGAGGGAGGTGACAGTGTGTAAAACTTAGCAGATGGTGTGGGAACCTGACATTGTCTCCCACAAGAGCAGGCTGAAGCAAGGGGCAAATGCAGCCCGAAGAGGAGCCTCATGGTGAAGTGGAGGTCTCTTAAACATCTGAAGAGCTGTCCAGAGGAAGATGGATTAGCAGTGTACTGTGTGGTCCAGGGGAGGTAAGAACGACAAGGATTGATGGGTCAGCATTCAGAGACAGATTTCAGCTCCAGGGCTGAGTTTTCACACACCACGCATCCACCCTGTCCCTGGTCACATATGATCAGAGGCACACTCTCATTTGGTGACAGGACAGTAGCAGACCTGAACTATAGATGAGCATACATATACTAATGGGATCTAAAGGTGCCTCTGGTCCCAAATGAATTCTTTGGGCTCTAATTCTCTTCAGAGTCACTCATTTCACATGCATCCCTTACGCTCTGTCTCTAGGCACAACCTATGGTGACCTTGCCCCATTCCCTGCAACCCACTCCTTCCTGCACATATGTGCCTCCTCTCAAGTCTTTCCCATCCTGATACTCCGTCTCCATGGCACTTACCACAAATTTAACTGTAGCATTTATTGTTCTTCTAATGACCATGTCATCGTGCCCCCAAAACAGGGAACATGGAGACAAGTAGCCTCTTTCGTGGACCATGCCAGGAGTCTGCAGACATCATGCTCTCAGCCATGAATACCCATCATGCCTTCCAGCCATCTACCCTATCATTCTTTCAATTGACATTTCTTAGGGAATTACCTATATAACCTTTACCACCTGTGCATCCTACTCTGGACATATGGGTTTCTTCCCATTTGTCTTATGTGCTTCAGCCTGGTCCTATTCAATGTGATCTGTACATATTCACCACTGTCTGTCCTAAGTAGGTATCGTCATCCAGAGACCTTCATGCAGCAACCTAACACTGATGACTGCTTATAACAAAAACTTGGGAATTAAAGTTTTTGTTTTTCTCTAAATTCATTTTTTATTGTCTGTTTCAAAAATATCAGCCTTTGACATACTGAGAGAATACCAGTTGACAAGCACCATGAAGCAATGTTATTTTATTGAAAGATAAGAACAGCCAGCTGCAGTGGCTCATGTCTGTAATCCCAGATACTCGGGAGGCAGAGACTGGGAGGGTAGAGGCTGGAGACCTCTACTCAGACCAGGCAAAAAATGAGACCTTGTATCAATAAACTGGGAATGGTAATGTGTGCCTATAATCACAGCTAAAACTGTCATGCTAGGTACGCAGGAGGCCACAGGTAGGAGGATCGTGGTCCAAGGACAGCTCTGAGCAAAAAGCAAGACCATACCCAAAAATAATAACCTAAAGCAAAAATGCTCCGGGTCTAGGGGTGTTGCATAGCAAGAGCAAGGCCCTGAGCTTAAACCCCAGTATGGCAAAAAAAGGAATGGAACACTATTGGCATTAGGGCAGCAGCAGGGATGTTCCTGCTCTTAACAGTTCCCAGCTTCCTCACATAGTAGGGCTCAGTTCAAATAGGAAAGACATGTAACCATCATAGAGCAGTGACAGCTCAAACCCAGAGACTGGCCATTTTAATGAAGATGAGAAAAGTGCCCTTACACATGAATCTTATCACTTTGCCACTGTGCCTTTGTCCTCATCACTAGGTACATTGTAATCCTAGCTTACACAAGTTTTGTTTTGTTTAGGGGAGGGGAGAGGGAAACTGGAGGGTAACTAAGGTTTGAACAGATGGCCTGGAACTTGGCTCTACGATTTGAGTCATGCCTCCAGGCCTTTTTAGATAGAGTCCTACACTTTTTGCCCAAACAGCCTTAACTACAACCCACCTACATTGGCTTTACTCATAGCTGGAATTATGAATGTGTACCACAATACCTGGCTTATTCTTTGACATAGGGTCTCACTAACTTTTTGCTCAGGTTGGTTTCGAACCACAATCCCTATCCACTCACAAATCCATCTGGGGGGGGAAAAAAGGTGCCCTGAGGGCATCCCAGGTGGCAGATGGGCATCCTCAAGAAAACACCCACTTAACAGCTCACAAGTAAACTGGAGGAGATCTAACCCCCTCAATCCTGCTCTTCGTTGGGCCCACCTGTTACCTTAAATCCTTAAAATCTCCACTAATTTCTAGTGTAGACAAAAAGCCTCATTTTAGCATGAATCAAATTACCATGAAACAGAATTTATAAACACATGAAAAGTGGAGCAAGGGACAGCTCAGCTGTGATGAGCTGAGGAATTCAGTTTTCCCGGTACTTGATGTTTTGTTTGAAACGAGGCTCCAATCAGAAACACACAGAGATGCCTAGGGGTTGAATGAACTATTGAAAATAATGCGCTAATGCCATGTGCAAGTGATACCATATATTAAAAAAACTAAGGAAAATCTGAAGGTGACCACCTAAGGACAAAGAAAAATTAAAGACCTGTGCATATCTATGATCCCAGCACTTGGGAGCCAGAGACAGGAAGATCTCAAGTCCAATGCCAGCCTGGGCTACATAGTAAGTTTCAGGCAAGTGTGGGCTATACAGTGAGACCCTGTCTCAAAGAACAAAACCCAAAAAGAAACAAAAAACCCCTGAAGACTGAGACATTACAAACGGGTTCTCTTACTGGAAAATCAGTATTTCAAAAGGCCTCCTGTCCTTCCTATCATAGGAAAAGGAAGGTCAGACACACCCTTGCATTTTAATTGTGCTTTGTATAAAACTTGATAATTTTCATTCTTTGAGTCATGTTTGCAATAGTTAACATCATGGAAACTACGTGATTTTTCTGTGATCCAGTTAGAATAACCAACTGAGTTTTTCAAATTCTGAATGCTTTTATGCCCTATAATCCAGCTCTCTTGCTTCCCCATAAAGCCACTTCGTTTTTTATAATTGTTATCTCAGAGTAAAGCACTCATACTGGTATTCCACAGGACCTCCCTTCAACTTGTTTCCACCAAAATAAGGAAGAGGTGGCACTGAAATGGGAGAGGAGATGACACATTTCAAATCTCTGAGATTTTAAGACTTCGTGATAGCTTACCACCTACAACGTGCACAGTACCGGTGCAAATCTCTGCCGCTGCCTTCCAACCACATGCCCAGGAAGAGCAGCTTTCTGAAGAAGGGTCAAGCGAGGAGGGCCAACACCTCCAGCTCTTTCCTCCCACTTCGTACTCATCTCCAACAGCTTCTCTCCAGAAATAACTAAATGCATGAGATCACCCACGGGGAGAAGCCAGAGGCGTGACACCTACAAGGTACCTATTTATAGAAAGTGTTAACACTTCTCAGGAAAAGACACCAGAAGTCTCCTTGGAAACGCCCAAGCCTGTCCTCCCTTTGGAATTCCAGTCTGCTGACACCACTGCCTTTGAAGCAAACCAAAACCAGGGCACCGAGGTACTTACGGTTTTCCCCCAGGGATTCCTGCCAGGTTGGGAGGGATGGTAGGTACTCTCATGTGGGGGGGAGGATCAAAACCAACCTGGAAATAAAAATAAGGCATGGCAGACTCAGTTTATTCAAGGCAGGCACTTTGTGAACATCGACTTTTCCATTAGAAACATTTTTATGTCCCCAAAACAACATAAATGGGAACAGTAACAAGGGTCAGGACTTTTCAAAAGAAAAAGTATAATGGAGTAAGTCAAAGAACCACCTTTACACACCACAAGACACACTTCCTTTTGGGGAGGTAGAGAAAGGGTGTAACCTATTTGTGCACGGAGGTAAATACTTTCCACAGCTTTGGGATGTCCTATCCTGCCCAAGCAAGTCCAGAGAACAACATGTTGCCAAACCTGAGCACTACTGACACTTTGGGTCAGACAGTTTCTTTCTTTCTAGTGGGCTTTCCTGAGCATTACTGGATGTTACAGCATCCTAGGCCTCTGCCATCAAGTGCCAACAGCATCTTCCCAGTTGCGATAATCAAAAACATCTCTAGGGGCTAAAACTCATTTGCAGGCTACACATCTAAGTTAATGCTCAAAGACTCACACGAGTCCCTGTTGTGTGCACCATAATATCAGTAACTATTCCCTCCGCTGCCCATCTTACTTTGAACTTGGCCCTCCACTGTACAGCTCTTCCTACAAGAGCAACATAAGAGAAAAACTATGAACTTTAGTATCGCCCTGTGAATGATATTTTATTCCTGTTCCTGATGCAATCAATGGTGACACAATTTTACCCTTCAAAATGCAGTTTTGTATCTTGGTCAAAAACCGGGCCAGTTTTACAGTGGCAGAAGGCAGGGCAAGAAGATGAAAGAGTGACTGGCCTTATGCTTTCACAATCTGTCTACCTGTCATATACAAATCACTTTTTATACCTAAGCCATGCTATCAGTCTAAAGGGTTAGAAAGTATGGCTTCCCAAATATTTTCTCCTAAGATTTAAACAGAGACAGGGAGAGAAAAGCTTAAGAAAATGAAAGAAAAAGCTTCTGTGAGCTACTAGAATCACTTCATCACTTTCAAATTTAAAAAATCTCCCTTGATAGAGAAAACTAGATGTCCTCAAACCACTTCCACACACTGCCTTGTTCCCTGAGCAGCCTCTACACTACCTTTTCATAATCACAAAAGCAATGAACAAAAGGCGTTTGGCCCTGACTTAATGAACCAGCATGGTGATGAAGGCTGACAAGTGAATGGCAAGTGTGCGACCAGAACAGTGGGTGGCTTTGTGTGAGATGTTGTGGGCTGGCTGCTCCTGCACTGTGGTGCCAGGAGGCCTGTGGACACCTCGAGCGATAGCACTCAGTGAAGCAGGTGACATCCCTAACCCAACCAAAGCCCACCACAGCTGCCTACCATTGGGGAGCGCCCGTAGGCCACCACAGCAGCTGCAGCGGCAGCAGCACTCATCTGAGGAGACATGTTGTGTAAACTGGCATAGGCGGCACCGGGGCTGGTCAGCTCGCCGTTCATGCCAGCATGGGGGACCATCCCAAAGGGAGCAGGGTACGGGCCGGGCACTGCCAGGGGCGTCCTCAAACCAGCTGCTGCAAGGAAACACAAGCCTCATATGACTCGACCAACCCACTAAGTCAAAGTCAACCAGTAATTCCACTGTCATTGGTTAGTGTCATTCATAATGGGGAGGAAGAAAAGGGAAAGGCGTCCAGGGGAGGGGAAAATCACCTCCAATTTAAACACTGGATCCATTCTTCCCCAGACCTGAATTCCTCTCCAGGACAGAGAGGATCCCCGAAGAATCATAACCCACATTATTTCCTTATTGGTGTATGTGCAGCACTGGGAAGCCAGGGGAATTAATCAGCATTACTGTACCCAATTTATGGAGGGCAAACCAAGGCACAGGCACTAAGCGTTTACCTGACTTAATCTCAAAAGAAGATTTTCTTGATAAAATCCAAGATTTCTCCTTCAGTCCGAACTTTCCATTCCCTGGTACCAACTCCAAATGAAAACCAAATCCTAGATTTATGTAAACCAAAGCATGGGTTTAGGAGGAATGGTGTGGACTACCTGGACTTGGGTTGTTACTTTTCTCGTTGTCCAGTGAGGAATGGGGTCAAACTGAATGTTATGAGCATACTACTCACAGGCTGGACTGTCAGCAAAACCCTCCTGATTTCTAATAAAGGAGAGAACACCAATTCCTGAAGATGTATCAACAGGAACCAGCCAACTGCAGGCACACTTTGGCAGCAAAACCAGCCACTTCAGTCAATATTAGCAAAGTCAGTCATACAATGATGGTTTGGTAAGGAGCTTATGTTTGGAATAATTATCAGAAACTTTATTGAAGTCCCTAGGATTTGGATTATTTGGAAATAAAGGAAAAGCTGAATGTAAATAGTTGGAGACCAAACAGGGTGCAGCTGCTGAAACCCAAGGACAAACATCTGTTTCTTACTGTGCCTTTTTTCAGAGATAGGAAGGAGGGTGGCTTTAAGGACATTTCATATTCACGGGGAAATTGCATCATGAGACTAACAGACAACAGATCGAGTTGGAAATAGGAGAAACAAAACAGCAAAATAAGAGGCAATGCTCTACCGCTTGGTTGACGAGGGGCTCCATGGCTGGAGGTTTGCCGAGGCCTGGACGGAGGCCTGGAGTGGCGCTGGTGCCCGGCGTTGGCATGTCGCTCCGAGGCGTCGGAGTGCTGGATTTCAGAACAGGCGTGCTGGCTTTTTCATGCTGGTATCATTAAACAAATTAAATGAGTATTATTTTTAATCCAAGCCATATTACACAATTTATCACAACAGCAGCTGGGATACTGGGCACCTTCTAGCTACTCCCTCAGCCAATTTTCATAAATCCACACAATGTTGACAGCATTAACTTGGGAGCAAGAAATGTTGACCTTTCTTCTTCCTGCCAGAATTAAAACTCAAGCTGGAGACACAGAATATGATCACACTTCTTCCTCCGCAGATTTTATTTTAAAAAGAATTTTCCATCAGGCTTGTGGACTTTGGCTCAGTGCCAAGTTAGAAGGATGACCACCCAGAGAATAGTTCCCAGTCCCTTGGAAAATGCATGCCCAGCTGCCAAGAGTGTCTGAGGGAAGAGCTTTCCTTTCCTCAGAATGGATTTCCTCAGAGTGATGGGTAGAGAGAGTGGAGTCACCAATTACAGAAGGAAACTATCATTTCAGGGGCAAAAGCCCTAGATATGTGTCCAAAAAGAAAGACCCTTTGGGGGTGTCACCACCCACCTAGCTATCTGGCCAATGTGGATCATTCAGTGCAATTGGGAGACACTAACTAGGGACCTCTGCAAGTCAAAGGAGTAACAAATATAAGGGCTCCTTCTTTTGCCTCTCAGCCTCTCGTCTTCTAAAACACACAAGTGCTATGTAGTAGCAAAGAGCATGAGCCAGCGACTCCAGCTTACTCTAGCCTTTGATCTGATGGCTGATAGTCTTGGCAAATTACTCAGGCTTTCCTCCCCTTCAGTGAAATGGGATTCTACAATGAAGAAATACCACACTCAACAAAGCTTCTCACTATGTAGCTGAGACTGGCCTAGAACTCACTATATAACCCAGTTGGCCTCCAACTCAAGAACTTCCTGCCTCAGCCTGCCAAGTACTGGGATTACAAGCATATGCCACAACACCTGGCTCTACATTATGGAATGAATAAAACGAACTGTCTTTGATGCACTCCCAGCCCCAAAAGTTCCAGGTTTCTTGTGTGCAGTTCTGTCCTGATATGTTCCCTACTATTGAAGCATACTCCATGACACACCCTGACATGATGGGTCAGGTTATTGGGTAAGTGGACAGCTTAACAAAATCAAGACCTCTTGAGAGCTCAAAGAAGTCAACTATTTGCCAACTGGTAGGTTTCGCAGAGCATGGGTCATGAACATATGCCCTGAGGAAGAAAGCAATGAATGTTCTAATTATGGTTCCAAATAGACTACAAGGGAAAAAGTAAACACTGAATGGAGACAAACAGAAGGATTTCCTTTTTTAAAACTTAAAAACACAACCCAGGGCTGGGCACAGAGGTACTCATCTGTAATCAAAGCTACTCAGTGGGTGGAGATCAGTAGAATTGTGGTTCAAGACCGGCCTGGGCAAAAAGCTAACGAGATCTCATCTCAACCAATAAGGTGAGCATGGTGGTGTGTGCCTGTGATCCCAGCTTGTGGGAGGCCACGTGTAGGAGAAATGCAGCCTGAGGCAAAAAGACAAGATCCTACCTGAAAAACAACCCAAGCAAAAAAGGGTTGTCGGCATGACTCAAATGATAGAGTGCCAGCGTAGCAAACAATAGACCTGCAGTTCAAACACCAGTACTGTCCAAAAACAAAATAAAACACAACCCTAAGCAGCAAAACCCTCACATTTCACATGCTTCAAGGTTCTCTGATCTGCACAAAAAAATGCACCATTAAACACACAAGTGTCAGCCCTCTTTCCCTACCAGGCTCATTTCTTTGGATTTCAAAGAAGTGGAACTTCCCGAGGAGGCTGTGGACGCAGGGCTGCTGGAAGCATCTTTCTTCAGCAGGCGGTTTTTGTCGATTCCATTCTCCCGTGGTGAATGGGTAGGACTTGCTCGTGGAGAAGAAGGGTCCTTAACGAACACAATCAAAAGTTTTCCTGTTTAAGCTTATAACAAACAGAATTTTCCACACTAATTCTCTAAGTTAAAGAATACTGAAAGCGCTTTAGATTGATGGCGTATGACATACCTAACAATGCGGCTACCATGAATAAGATGACATTTGCAACAAGCCCATGAATATGTCATGAGTAAAACAATCATATGCTTCCTCAGGCCCAAGGACTTTCCCTATATGGCACTGGAGAGAAAGGGGAGGAGCCAGGTATCTAACTTAGGAATTCAAAAGAGAACATGTTTTTTGTTATTGTTGTTTGGTAGTGCTGGGGGCTGAACCCAGGGGCCTTGCCAATGCTAGGTAAAACTGAGCTACATCCCCAGCCCAGAGTATTTTTTAAGGAACTAACTGTTGGTGTCAGTTTGATTATCATTGCTCCATTTATAAGCAACCATTAAGTGGTTCTACTTCATTCATTCACTACTCAAATCACTCTGAAGATAAAAAGAAGGGTTACCTCATTAGACACATCCACAACTAAGTTGTCATCACTTTTATCACCATCACTGTCCTGAAACAAAGAAATTTAATGCCATTTAGTAAAGGCTTTAGAATGGATTTTGAGCATTGTTAAAATTTCTTTAGTTCTCAGCAGACAAAACTACTTGTGATACATGTGCAAACTCACTTATAGACCACCAGCCCTTACAGGGAACACTCAGTGGAGGCAGGGCTATGGAAAGCTCAGAAGTTCTGCTGCAGTAGCAATTCACTTACTGTAAGATGCTGCTTACAGTAGCATCTGCTGTAAGCAGATGATGGCAAATTGGAAAACTTGGCACATTGTAAGAGCTTAGGAAATATTTGTAATAGCTAAATCTTTATTGTTATGTGAAATCTCTAATGTAATCTGAACTGTGCATATCCTTATATCACCCATTATTTTTCCATTTCAAATCAAGTACACAATTTCACATCATTGCTTTTGTGTGCATCACCTTGAAGACAGACAGCAAACCTGATGTTCACAGACAATCCATAATTATAGAGAAAAATTTACCTAAGCTATTTCCCCATAGGGTTCCAGGTTATAGCAAAAACAAAAGATTTAATCTTATGTTAACAATAAACTTCTAAGGACACTTGGAGTATTTTTTGAGAGATGGGAGGAAGATAGATGGCAATATTTGGAGGGCACTGCCATCCTGAAATAGAGCTTTTACTGTCTCTTCAAGAAGTCATAAAATTTGTTTATCAATGGAAACTCCATGGTTGCACTGAATTTGGAAAAGATTCAGAAAAGCCATTCAATTTAAGATGTGATGACTCCTACCCTAAAGTTTGGGGAAGGCTGAAAATGTCTGCTTTCTTAGTCACAAGGCTTTATTCCTTTAGTGCAGAGAATGCAGAATAAGTAAAACATCTCAATGGGTCCAAGTCCTTAAAAAGAAGTATATCCCTAATTTATGATCTTAACAAGCCTTCTACTGCTATCACTGTCAATTACGACTATAAGAATAATGTTTGAGTAATATTAGTTTGTATAAGTACAAATATTATCCACAGTAGCCTTCTATGGGCCCACAGTCAAGGCTTCAAAGCTTACCTCAATTTTTTTCAAGGTACTCATGCTACATGTGGGAGACCCAATTTATTTACTTTCAACAGTGTGATTACAAGATATACTTTATTGTTACAAAGGCACCATGCAATTCAATAGTAACAACATAAAATTATAATTAATGAGGAAGCTAGGATAATTAAAAATAAAATCTACTGAGAGAAATATTTTCATGGGAAAAAGAAAAAACGCTAATAATAAAGACAATTTGTTTTCTCATAATAAAGCACACAGAAAAAAACACAAATGTTTTCAGGAATTAAGGGTAGTAGTACTGAATGGGCATAAGCTAAAAGGAATTCCCTTTTAGTGAAAAAAATATATAAAAACAACTACACAGTATACTGGCTGAACTGGCAAAAACTAGTAAACATTTACTTTACTATAATGGTAACTCCTTTTTAATTTTCAAAATTTTTTAATGCCACATTTTATATACATATATATATAAATGAACATAATAATTCAATACATGTACATTATATATAATGACCAATTTAGGATGGTTAAAATTTCCATCTTTTTATCATTACTTTGTTTGGGGTCTAGAAACTTCTTCCAGTTTTTCATAAAATATATGGCAAGCTGTAGTCAGTCATCCTACTGTGCTGTGGAACGCTAATGCTTATAATCCAATCTATTTTACTTCCCCTTATCCAACCTCCCCTCTCTATTCTACTACCCTCCCTCCCCATTAGAACTCTGAAGTGTATCATTCACTCCTCTGTAATTTAAATACCATCAAAGAAGCTTTGTCCCTCAGATTCTTCAATATGATATTGATATATCACTCCTAACTACCTATGCATATCCAACCAGACACACCTCATACAAGCAGGTAGCAAGCCATCATGCCAAGCTATAGACTCTGGGGCCCTCACTGCTCACTAACGTTATATACATGAGCCTCATGGAGCAACTCAGAATTGTGTGATCAGCACATTTCCTAGTTTCTGCTTATTAACACTTAATGTGAAGACATGGGACATCAGCTCTGGGCAACACATAATGGCAGAAGGATATGTGCTAAAAAGGCATGGGTAGGGCTGGGGGAAACAATGACTTTGGTTCTTAGGATGTAATTAAACCATAGTGCAAATTGTGGACTGATTCAAGGACCTCTGGGGAAATACCAACTCTAGAACTGGGTTCAGGAATCTAACATGGTAATTAAAAGCATGGGTTTTTGGAATCAGACTGCTACTAACCATGACCTCCAGGGGATCACTTGAAAGCTCCTAGCTGCAGTTTATCTAATAAAATGGGGATGATGACACCTAACTCATCAGGTTGTAGTAAGAATTAAATAATCCATGTAAGAACATGAGACACCTGGCACTAAACTGACTTGGGACTCAAGGAATGCTACCTATTGTTAGTATACGCTGGAGCAATCCAGCTGGACAGAGGCTGTTTTACACCTCCACTGCACAGTGCACACCTCTTCTTCCAAGGGCAATAAGGAAGTAGCCCAAGTCAGCATTGTGTACCCATACTGTTGCTGAAAACAGACCGTGAAATAGACACTCAGAGATACACAAGGCAACTCCCAAGTTATATGTTGGCTACAATGTTTATGACCCAAGACCAAAGCCAATGGCTGTTTGGGCTGACTTGCTCTCCTCTGCATGTGTTTTTAGCTGGGTCAGTGCCATGTACCAGTCCAGGGATCTCACCTGCAGGACTGAACTACACACCCTTGACATTTTTACCATTACCATTGACTTAAATCACTTGCAGCATTAGATGATTAACTCTCCTCAACACCTAACACGAATCTGAGTATCATACCAGAATAGCATCCAAAATGTATTTTGTGGCACCACAATGTTTACCACTTGAGCAGGAGTGACTACTCAATTTGCATGGCTCATCTGGGACAAAATGAAAATGTAGAGCTCTCATCCAAACAGTGGGATCTGGGGCTGTAACATGGTGGTAGAGAACTTACGTAGCATTCATGAGCTGTTGGGCTTGATCTTCAGCACCACAAGAAGGAAAAAAACAAACAAAAAACTCCAAACTCAGATATTATAGATAGCTGGGTGGCCCTTCTAGAAACAGAGCCCAGTGAAACCACAAGGGGCATGAAACCAGCCAGATTTTTTTTTTTTTTTTTTTGCTGTTCTGGAGATTGAACCCAGAGCCTTGCACATGTTACTCAAGCTGTCTACCACTCAGTAGAATTTCCAAAACCCTTCATTTTTTTGAGACTAGGTATCACTATATAGCTCAAGCTGGCCTTGAACTCACAATCTTCCTGCCTCAGACTCTGAGTACTGAAATTACTAGCATACTAGCAACTTGACATTTTCACAGTCCCTCTAAATGAGTAACCAATGAAGACAAGCTGAGCAGAAGTATAATTTATAGCCTTAAAGGGAAATAATATCCTACAATGTAAGAACATACTCTCTCCATAGTATTATTTTAAGGAATGAAGAATTATTACAGAGATTTTTTTTTTTTTTTGCGGTACTGGGTTTTGAACTCAGGACCTCAGGCCTGTTAGGCAGAAAATCTACCACCTGAACCACTCTGCCAGCCTATCAGAGAGATCTTAGTACATACTTGGATATTCAGAAGGTAAGCAGTAAGCAAACAAGATTATTTGAAGTCCTTTATTTACTTACATAATGGCTAGAATCCTTATCATCCACCTTCCTTTTTTTGATGTCATTTGAAAACTCAGGCCCATTTCTACGTTTATCTGTGCCTCTCAGACTGTCTGGAACCAAGAGGGAATTGCTCTGCAAGACAAAAAAATATTAATCAAAGGTTTCCTCCCAGGCTTCTTTGTACACATGAAAACCCAAGCTGGATGTGAGAACCATTTTAGAAAGGTGATACCTATATAGCCTTTCATTCCCTTTAAGACATCTGTCTAAAGACTTGATGGCAAACATTTATACAGCTTTCTGCAGTTAAAAGGACCCTGACTTTGCAATCAAACTATCTAAACCCTAGTGGATCCTTCAGGACCTACTCATTCAAAATGTGCTTCTATTTTGTGTTGGAGAAATAGGAGCTAGCTGTGTGAGTGTTGATGTATTTTTATTCTCTCCCACTGCAACTTCCTAGTCAGGAGTATGAACAGTCTATGAGCAAATCTTGAGATCACTCTGTTAGGCATATTCTGTAACTCTAACAGTCACTGTGTACCCCTCTAAAAGACACAAAGGAGGCAGGTGGGATTAACAGCATGGTTTCCTAAAAGGCAAGTTGCATTTTCCACAGCAACAATAAAGGGACTTTTGAGTTCTTTTAATTTATTGTTGAAAATAAGATTTGGTATTGCTCTCCAATGGCACTGAAATTTAAGACCCAAGGGGGAAATCACAGCCAGGGAATCTTCAATAGCAAGACCAGCTCCCACACATAAAAGCAGGAACAAGGACTAATCTTTTCCACAAACCACACAGGCTACTTTTATTGGCATATGCTGAGTACGAACTGTTGACCCAAAGAAAACAGGCATTTTAGATATTTGGGGGGTCATTTGACATGATCTGACATCCCTTCAATTCCCATCTCCCCTCAGGCTAAAGCAGGGGAACATGTTACAATGAGTTCTTTTAAGCAAAGGATTAGCATATGCAAGGGGGCAATTTGTTCAGTGATGTGTTACTGCCTTGAACAATGCTGAATGAGCTGTGCAAAAACAGCCTTTCACAAGGCCTAGATAACCCCAATTTCTGCAAGATGTTTGAGAACTAAGAGGGGGTGTCTTATGTTACCTTTCTCTATTATAATTTAAAATAGAAGAGGCTTGGGGAAACCTTTAAGTATAGCCACCAAGATATGTACCAGGAGTGAATATTTTATGGCACATTTTTGAAGACCATAATTTTTATTCCTTACCAGCCAGAGGTAATCTGCCAGGTGGCTGGTTCTTCACGCTCCCCTGGGATAAACAGGGACCCCCACCATAAGAGTGTTCTTGGCTCAACCACACACAGGAAGAAATCAAATCTGGGACCAAAAGGCAATCTGAAGCCTCCTGGTCCACTTCAGGGGCTGATTCTAAAGCAAGCTGAGCTCTTTTATTCATGACTGTTCAAGCTACACAAATGCCAGGAGGTTTAGATAAAAGAAGGTGAAAGACCCAGCAATTCATTATGGAAAAGCCCCAAGTAATGTGTATAGCAGTGGCTGGGGGCTGAAAGGTGAGCTGGCTGGATCTCTGAACTAATTACCTTGATAAATGTCTGCTAAAAACTAACCTCTCCAACCCAACCCAATGGCCCAATAAAAGCTACAACTTTTGCAAAGTGCTAGTGTGCACGCAAAAGTGTTTAAATATACCTATCTCTGTTCTGGATGACTTTAGTCCAGAGGTCTCCTCCAGACTCTGAGCAGATGGATGACGCTGTGTCTTACTCAACTTTACATCTGCACCGAGTGTTCAGCAAAATGTGGTACAGAGTCCAGATCTGCTGGTAAGGTAAGTCCCCCAGAACCATCTTCATAACCCTCCTGTGTAATTAGTAGCAGGCTTCCAGACTACTCAGTCATTCCAAGATGGCTTTATAAGGTTGCATTTTTAAAACGATGTCAAGTGTAATCCTGGACATAAAAGCAAACTACACTTCTATTAGGAACAATACAATTTCTATTAGAAAAAAAAACATTTCTACCGCAGGACCTTTAAAGGCTGTCATGCTTTGAGGCCTCTGTTTCTATAAGAAAGTTACTACTGTAATTTCATCAAGCACCTTAAATAAGGCCAATAATCTGAATGGATTTTGAGAAGTTCCTCTAAATTTAGACTGTGATAGTAATTAGTACCCCTGCTTATCTGAAAATTGGCCCATTCAGCTGGCAGGCTTCAGCAAGTTAGGAAAGAAGGTACCTCTTCATAACTCTGATACTAAAAAATGGATTCAAAATGAGGCAGCAATGACAGTGGGCCAGAAAGATCAACTGGAGCTACAGTCAGAGCCAGGGAGCCCCGACTCCCATCGCTGTCCAACACCTGACAGGCTTTCTACATAAAGGCCACCCCATCAAGAAAATGGACAGTATCCCGGTACTCTTGTTCCCCTGAACAGTTTTCCAGATGTGACTGCCTGATTTTCTACCCACAACACTTAATTGGTTGTCCTTGATCTAAGCACATGCTCCAGCCTAATGAGCTGCGCTGTTAGTGAGAGCAAGCATTTTTTTTTTTAACTACTGATTGGGGGACCTCACATCTTTGTGAGCTCTCTGCATTTGTTTTCCTGAAACCCAAAGTGCCTTCAGAGTATTACTGCATGTTTCATAATTCCAAAGTATTGTTCCGCCATGCACCATCTACTGCTTGTTCCTATAGCTGAAAGGTGAAACAGTCAGTTGGACAGTCATGAGGAGCCAAAATACATCTTAAGAATTAAGACATGATGCCTGAGAACTGACCCAATATCCTTTTCCTCCTACAAAATTCAGGATTCTGTGTCCTGTATATATCCTCTGTTATCTAACAAACATTTAAAAGGAGACTCTTGTTACAAAAGAATGAAACTGAGGTGGTTTCCCTTTAAAAAAAAAAAAAAAAGTTATGTATTGGGTTGCCTAGAATGCAACAGTTCTGAGTTGTATCCCCAGCCTAAGAGGGGGAAAAAGGTCATAAAACACTCATGCATGCCAAACACAGAAGACCATGAGACTCTAATCTGGGAAGAGGACAAAGCTACCTTTAAAAGACATTCTTTTTTATCTCCTGTTTTACCCTGAATGCTATGATGTCCAGAGAGCAGAGGTGATTTGCCTCAGGTCAAGAAACCCTTCCTATCACCTAGATTCCCATTAAGTCAAAGTGTACGCTCCATTCCTTTTCCCCCCCAGTACAGGAATTTGAGCTCAGGGCGTCCCGCTTACTAGGCGGGCACTCTACCACAACAATGCCCCAAGTCCAAAAATTCCTTCTGATTTCTGTTTTTTTCTCAGGAATTTGTTTGTTTGTTTGTTTGTTTTTTCCTTTTGGCGGTACTGGGGTTTGAACTCAGGGCCTTGCGCTTACTAAACAGGTGCTCTGCCACTTAAGCCATGGACTCAGCTCAGTTTCTACATACCCAGCCTCATCTGATCTCAAACCAGGATTGGGCCTGATTATACTTTGATAAGAGACCACTTGGGAACACTGGGTGCTGAAGGCTTATGAAAGCTTAAAAAAAAAAAAATTGTAAGAACACTTGTACCTTACACTGGCTCTTTAAACAACTAATGTGACATGATAATGCCTAATGTGTGTTTTCTTCAATCCTCCCTCCTCAGCAAGTTACACCCTTGATTTATCTGGATGTATGCCTACCACACCAAAAATGTAAACTCATATTGGGGGGATGGAGATTTTATGGCCTACTGTAAAATAAACTGCCTGGCCTGGGCAACTTAGTGAGACCCTGTCTCCAACAGTAATAAAAATACAACTAACACATAAAATGAACTGAGAATATAATGAACAGTCTTGCCTTGGCACTTATGACCTAGATGACCACTGGCAGCACCCTCTGCAGGGCCATAAGCAATCCACTCGCTCAGTGCTTGCTACTGCAGATGTCTCTTTCCAAGCATCCATATTTTGAAAGATTTTACGTACCAGACAGAATTCACCAAGTAGACTTCATTTTTCAAATATTTATCTGCCAAATTAATATTTAATCGTGAATCAGTTTTCTGATCAACATGAGAACCAGTGTTGCCACACTGACTGATAGACTCTCATCCCAGCCAAGAAACTCAGTGTTTCATTTCACCTTGCAGCTGGTAAAATGTAAATATCTGCCAGATTTTTCAAACATCCTTTGAATACTGGGCAGAATTCTACTTTGAATGTCCTGAGGACTGGGATTTCCAGGCTTTATGTAAGTTTTCTTTTGTTTTAGAATTTTGTTAAGAAATAAACAGACTCATTTTATCATTTACCTTATGTTTTCTACAGGAATTCAGGCTAGGAGTTATGCAGCCCATGGGGGATATGACAAACGTGTGCAAATCAAAATCTGAAAACAATGTTTTCAAAACAAACTAAAATTCTGAAACCATAATGATTTTCTACACCTTATGTGTTACACTCACTTAAGGATATAGAGCCAAGTAAAATGCTAAAGGGAGAGGCTTATCTGACAAGTCTCAAAAAAGGGAGGAAAAAAAATCATTCTAGAATATTCAGTACTGGAGACAGAAAAAGGGTCCCAAAGTTAACACAGCTGGTGTGACTTTCTCTCCATTTATATGTAGAAACTACAAAGGAGATGACTGTATCTGAAGTCATACTCCACACACAGTGGCCTCTCACTCTCAGAAAAACCGCAATACCTGAGAGCACCAAATCTCAGGGCATCTCCACTAGCAGCAAGCAAACTGGCATCATCAATACATACTCCCTAGGAGTCATGCCTGCCCGTGCTAACAGGGCAGGCAGAACAGAATGGCTGAGATAGTGAGCAAAAAAGCAAGTCAGGAAAACCTGTATGCAACTCCCTTGAGGAGTCAAACCACAGCAGTTTCCTAACTGTGGGAATCATGCTTCATAAAACATAAACCAGGACCTTTCCCCAGCTGTACTGTAATGGGTGCAAGTTCACTAGATACCAGTAGTTATTTGAACCTAGTAGGTAGACAAGGTCAATAGTCTCTTAAACTAAAAACAAATATTCCAGTGCAATTATGAACCCATACCTTCATGTAAAAACTCACAAAGTAAGTATCAGAACCTACTGAACCTCAGAGAATATCCAGCAGACACAAGAGAAACTGTGAAGATTTG